CTAACACTAATTTTATCCTTCGGTGGGAGCTCCCATGGTTTCCTAAGGGGAGCAAAGAAACCCGTGTCTCATTCTATAGATGGGAGGGTCCCATAGTTGTGCTGAAGAGGAGCATAGTTAACACCAGTTTTAATTCTAGAAGTGGGAGGGTCCCATAGTTTTACTTAAGAGGAGCAAAGATAACACCTATTGTGATACTATAGGTGGGAGGGTCCCATAGTTTTACTAAAGGGGAGCAAAGATAACACCTGTTGTGATACTATAGGTGGGAGGGTCCCATAGTTTTACTAAAGGGGAGCAAAGATAACACCTGTTGTGATACTACAGGTGGGAGGGTCCCATAGTTTTACTAAAGGGGAGCAAAGATAACACCTGTTGTGATACTATAGGTGGGAGGGTCCCATAGTTTTACTAAAGGGGAGCAAAGATAACACCTGTTGTGATACTACAGGTGGGAGGGTCCCATAGTTTTACTAAAGGGGAGCAAAGATAACACCTGTTGTGATACTACAGGTGGGAGGGTCCCATAGTTTTACTAAAGGGGAGCAAAGATAACTCACGTCATGATACTGCTTGTAGTGAGTGTCGATAAAAAGTGGATATGTGTGGTCTCCCGAAAATAGTCAGCTGGCGGAAGGTCATCTTCCTGACCCTGTAAAAAGTCCTATTTAAAAAAGGTAAAGAAACATGAGGAAACACATCTCATTTTTGAAATCTTGGGAGACAGAGGAGCTTCTGCTCCAGCAGGACTCATGGAGGACAGGGGACTAGTAGACAGATGAGCTTGTGCTCCAGCAGGACTCATGGAGGACAGGGGACTAGTAGACAGAGGAGATTCTGCTCCAGCAGGACTCATGGAGGACAGGGGACTAGTAGACAGATGAGCTTGTGCTCCAGCAGGACTCATGGAGGACAGGGGACTAGTAGACAGAGGAGATTCTGCTCCAGCAGGACTCATGGAGGACAGGGGACTAGTAGACAGATGAGCTTGTGCTCCAGCAGGACTCATGGAGGACAGGGGACTAGTAGACAGAGGAGATTCTGCTCCAGCAGGACTCATGGAGGACAGGGGACTAGTAGACAGAGGAGATTCTGCTCCAGCAGGACTCATGGAGGACAGGGGACTAGTAGACAGGGGAGCTTCTGCTCCAGCAGGACTCATGGAGGACAGGGGACTAGTAGACAGAGGAGCTTGTGCTCCAGCAGGACTCATGGAGGACAGGGGACTCTAGTAGACAGAGGAGCTTCTGCTCCAGCAGGACTCATGGAGGACAGGGGACTAGTAGACAGAGAGGAGATTCTGCTCCAGCAGGACTCATGGAGGACAGGGGACTAGTAGACAGAGGAGCTTCTGCTCCAGCAGGACTCATGGAGGACAGGGGACTAGTAGACAGAGGAGATTCTGCTCCAGCAGGACTCATGGAGGACAGGGGACTAGTAGACAGGAGATTCTGCTCCAGCAGGACTCATGGAGGACAGGGGACTAGTAGACAGGAGATTCTGCTCCAGCAGGACTCATGGAGGACAGGGGACTAGTAGACAGAGGAGCTTCTGCTCCAGCAGGACTCATGGAGGACAGGGGACTAGTAGACAGAGGAGATTCTGCTCCAGCAGGACTCATGGAGGACAGGGGACTAGTAGACAGGAGATTCTGCTCCAGCAGGACTCATGGAGGACAGGGGACTAGTAGACAGGAGATTCTGCTCCAGCAGGACTCATGGAGGACAGGGGACAAGTTTCTCCTGCAAAAAGTGGGAAGGAATGTAATACTATCAAGAGGCTGGCCCAGGACATGGAAATATGGAAAGTTTTTGTTCATGGCATATACCCTGATGCTTGGTGAAAAAGGCATTGATGATGATGATGATGATGATGATGATGATGAAGATGATGATGATGAAGATGAAGATGATGATGATGTTAAGAGGGGCCAAAGCTCGAAGTCTCAACTGTTAAAACTCGGAGAGTTGATCCTGCTTGTTGAGATACGTAGATGTGATACTGCTTGTCTCGACCGCTGAGATACGTAGATGTGATACTGCTTGTCTCAACTGCTGAGATACGTAGATGTGATACTGCTTGTCTCAACCGCTGAGATACGTAGATGTGATACTGCTTGTTGAGATACGTAGATATGATACTGCTTGTCTCAACTGTTGAGATACGTAGATGTGATACTGCTTGTCTCGACCGCTGAGATACGTAGATGTGATCCTGCTTGTTGAGATACGTAGATGTGATACTGCTTGTCTCAACCGCTGAGATACCTAGATGTGATACTGCTTGTTGAGATACCTAGATAAGATACTGCTTGTTGAGATACCTAGATGTGATACTGCTTGTTGAGATACCTAGATGTGATACTGCTTGTTGAGATACCTAGATGTGATACTGCTTGTTGAGATACGTAGATGTGAAGGAAGAGCGTGTTATTTCAACATTCCCAGATTCCTAACCTTGCTTTTCTTCAGGGTGAACTGTTACGACATTGTCACCTGCCAGACCCCCTTTGGAGGTTTCAAACAGTCCGGTGTTGGTCGTGAGCTGTAAGTTTTCACCTTTGCTATATCAATGTCTGGGGCAAAAATGTTTCTGTTTGGATGGCCTGGGAAACAAATGTTGCTATATATAGATAGATATATA